GAAAGAGTAATTGTACCTGGTATATGGCAAGGGGCAGAAAATGATTAAATAGTTAGCAGATGCACATGTGTAGGTGCTGGTCTTGTCATCGTACGCGTAGCTGTAGGCGCGTGGGCACGCGTGCTTGAAAAACAGAGAATAAACAGAAGGACCACACGTGTCAGGCGTCGAGTACGCCTCGCTGCAGCAAAAGCGGGGGTCCCCGAAAGCCTCGCACGCGCTCCGGCAAGCCACGCCCCCGCGGCTCCCGTTTCCACGCGCCACCCTCAGCTCCGCCGGACACCCGCCGTTCAGGTCCACCAGGCACCCGGTGGCGCTGCACCCGCCCCTCGTCCCTCCCTTCGCCACGATCAGCATCGGAAGGTTGTAACCGTCCACCAGACTCACGTCGTAGAAGTCCAACCCGTCGGCGCCGTTCAGGGTGAACTCCGCCAGTGTCGCCGGCGGCTTCGCGCCGCCGACGCACTCGACTTTGCCGGAGCCGCAGTCGGCGGTGGCGCAGGAGAACTTTCCGTCGGAGCCTTGAGCGCAGAGGGTCCGAGCCCATATCCGGCCCGACCAAGACTTGGGGATGGTTATGGTCTTTGACTTTCCGCTCTTGAGGGTGAATCCGGTGGTCGGAAGCGGCGGCGAGCTGGCGCCGGAGAGTAATCCCGGCCATATGGTGTGGCGGCACTTGTTCACGATCTTGAACGATGCTGATTGTACCTCTGCAAGTTCAGCCACCACTCAGTGTTAAAAACTTAAAATTTATTTATATTTTTAAATTTGAGTTTTTTTGTTTTTTTATTTGTGGTTTGGGAAGTTACCTGAGAGGAATGATAACGCGACGAGGCTGAGAATGATGAGAAAGAGAAGAAGGCGAGCCATGTGGAAAACGAAGGATGATACCACCCTAAGAACAAAGATTGATTGATTCAGTTCTTCACTTTCTTGAGAAGTTCAATGCGTGGTGGTGTTCGGTTCTTCTTTTTTGCTTTACTTTTCTTTTCTTTTTCTTTCTTTTCTTTTCCTTGCTTCTTAGTTTCTGTTTTCGCCACCTCACTCACTTATTCACTGTTTCTTGCTCCAATAATATACCCTTACCTTAATAAAAAATTTAACTTTCCTTTTCTTTTTCTTTTTTAATGTATATTTTCCCCTTTTATCTTTGGCATTTAGCTGGAGATTATATACACTTGTGATGATATATGAATCCACCATACCATAATATTGCTAACCTTAAGTCTTTTCTTTTGTATTTTAGGCTGATCCTACGATTCTTAAATAATGTTAGCAGCTAACACCACACCCAAACATATCATCAAACTAGGCATAATTTAATTTCTGTACAAATTTGCTTTAATAAATAATTTAGCGATTTGATAGGAAAGCCTCGAGGTTTATAGCCAATATATCCATCAATTTGTATTGTGATGAGTCTGAGTTATTTATTATTATTATTATTATTATTATTTTAAAAAAAATGAACACGACAGCAGCCCAACCCTATTCAGTATGGGACCCCATGTTTTTTAGCTGTGTGAGCCAGGTTCCAAGACATTGCACTTTCATTTGCAATATGTGACTATGGTATAAAATATAACAGAATGTACCATAAAGGCATAGTATGATAGTAGCATTATAATGTAAATTGAAGTACATACTAACAAATGTGTAAACAAATATAATAATCTCAACGAAATAGGGTGTGAAGAAACATGCAAGGCTTAAATGACGACAAGTTTATCTAAGATATGCCCGCAACAGTATGAAAATTAAAAATCTACACGTTACTCTGAGTTCCATAGAGACCTTAACCAGGTTAAACGCCTATGCCCTTTTATTGTCATAAAAGCAATAGCATTTTTGTCATCCTTAAGTGCATTAACAGCTTTTGCAAACTCATTGTCATCCAATTCCTCCAATTTCTGCAACTCCTCCAAGCAATTCTTGTACATTGTTGTTGCATTGGATGCATTTCTTTGCTTGGCTTTGGACTTGGCTGCTGTGAAAACCTCATACAATGTGTTCTCTATGGTTTCCCCAATTTTGAGGTGTGCTCTTTTCTTGCGAATTGACTCTGCTGGATTGATAAATTTGTGCTTCTTGGTTAGCACCTCGTTGATGCGGATTATTGAATCAGAATCAAGGGTACCATCAATTACTTGTGTTGGTATGTTACATGGCTCTGAAGACCGAACTGTTTCTGTGTTGCTGTTTCCTTCTTCTGCTGTGGCCATTGCTCCACTGGGAAATTGGCCCTTTGGAATTCCTCTTTCGCCTTCAAATATGATGGACATTTGTTTATAGAGTGGGAAACTCTTGCGTCTAAAAGGTCTTGCCTCACATCTTACCTAAATGTAGTAACACAAACTTTTCTAATGAGCAAAACATAATAAGTAATAATAACCCCTTTTGTAATTTTGTGTATATGAAATCAAGTTGAAACAAATTTTGAAACATATGCTTGGTAGATATATAGTTACTTGCCATAATATAATTGTCCCATACTTTGTCGTCAGCCACAACCGTATGGCGAGTTTCATCCCACACAAATTCCTTGTGACTAAGCAGTGTCTTGACAATACCATAATCTTTCTTCATAACATTGTAGCGATTCTTGATCTGATTCTCTTCCAAGTTGAGGCCAAACCTTTTGTTGAACTCCCATGTGACAGACTTTATGACTTCATTTTTGAATTCATTGTAAGCTGTTCTTCCACTCTTGTGTTGATCAATAAGAAGTTCAACCAAGTATGCATCACGTGTGGGTGTCCATTCTGCCTTGGGTCTGCTTAGAAATCCATCTTGTCCAGCTGACATTTTGTCTGCTAAGAGTCAGAAAGTGGGGTTAGGAATAGAGCATACAAATATAAAGTCAATGAAGTAAAGCTACCTTTTTGGTATACTTAAAGAAATATGATACAGCACAAAATAAGTCAAAAAATTGTGTGGCTCTTCCTCTGATCAACTTAACCTCACCTGCTATTAACTGCTATATTAGAATTCCTATCACAATAAAGATTAAAGAGCAACTAGTACCAAAAGAATTGGTAAGAGATCAGAAAACTAGTACCAGTGATGAGAAAACGTAAATGGGGAATTTTGTTGTTTGATGTGGTAGGGTGGAGCTCAGGTCATTGGAAGCCAGAGGGAGGCACGTAACTAGAGAATTTAACTCCAAAGGCAAAAGACAAGACCATGTTATGGCATAACAGAAGCGTTTCCACACGAGAAGACATAACCAAAGCAATGTGTCTCAGTATAAGCTCCTTATATATGGACACATGTCTGCTTCTGGTTTGACTCTTTTTGCCAACATACTCTAAACATAAATGAAGATCCATGACATGAACCCCTACATTTCATAGAGGGTTTGGGCCAACATTGTGGTTTTGCTCTCGATTTACCCAGGATGCCTATTTGGGCCTCAAGTTGTATTGTACAAATACTGGGCCTAAGACTGGTTTAATGACCCATTTCCGTACTATAAAGAGGTTCTGACAAAGAAAGTGCAATAAAAAGTGGCAAAACTAAGGGTCTGTATATTTGGGTTAGATTATTTTACAATAAATAACCAAGTTTACTGAAAGTTCTTTTCGTAAACTGAAGAGAAAAAAAAGTTATTAAAAATTTAAATCAAGGACATAAAATAATATAATTGAAAGCGTTAAACATTAAATGGAAATAAGCATACAAAGAGATAGCAAACATGCACTGATAAGCAAAATGCTGGATTTGCCAAAAGACAACATTGATACAAGAATTACGTGACCAGTTTTTAATTTTTATGTGACAAATAACACCACCGATGTTTTTGTGACAAATAATCATGTGATTGATTTAATGCTTTTCCTTACAATTCGTATTGCAATCTCTTCGTAACAAATTGCAATCCTCCATTGATAAATGATAATAAAAAATCACATTATTTTTTATTTCTTAGTTTTAAATATTTGCTAAACTATAAAATACTATTATTTGTTTTCATTGTTTCTTTCTTAACATCTTAAGAACAATTAGAAACAACTTAAAAATAAGATATTTTATAATTATTAAAAATATATAAAGTAAAATAGAAATTAAAAAAATAAACCAAATGTATATAATGTGTAAGAAAAGATGTGCCACTTCCACAGTGAACTCAAAACTGTTAAGACAGCGTTACGTCTTTTAATAGGTATACTATTCTCTCTCTCTCTCTCTGTCTCTACAGGAAATAAGAATACTATTCTCATTCAGCCATTAAAAGCACAATTTTAATTACTAAATAATTTTCAAGGACCAGGCATGATGCCGTGTATTCAACAAAAGTTGGAAAATCTATCAATTGCTTAGACAATTTAGCTGGCAAATGTAACAGAATATTTGTTCGATCTTCACAGTGCAAAAGAAGGCACTAAAGTGAAACAAAAGTTTTGGTTTATGATGGGATTCTTTTTGTTAATTAGAGGAGAGGCCCAGCTCCAGCATGGATGCAAAAAAGATGGGGTAGCATGATGGTGTTTGTGGCATCACACCAATTATATTGCATATGTAAACATAGACATGCATCTTTGCTAACAAGGTTGACCACCAATCCTTGCATCAACGATTCAACAACTAGTCAAGTACTAAGGCTGCAATAGTATGCAGCCACGTAAGGCAATTGCACCACAAGTCAATGCAGGAGGTTTTTCTGTCTCATGCCTTCCAAAAGCCAAAAGTGCTAACGTCAATCTTTGATGAGAGGGAGACCCACCTTCAAAAATAGTGCAGCAACAAAGGAGAGATATGGATGCCAAAAGGGATTGAGTTCTAATCATTGCCGTGCATAATCATCTAAATACAAAACAAAGTAATTCTCATGGGTCAAATTTACTCTTGTTAAGTATAGCTCAAGATTTTATGGCTCTTCATGTAACTCACTAGCTAGAACTGCATGCTTAAAATTGAGAGTGGATTTGATACATGATTATGGTATGATCATGTTCTACTCTAATATAAGCAAACTAAATGTTTAAACATTAGTATATACTCCTTTCCAATCTTTAACCAAATTGAGCAATAGCTTTTTTTGATTGATTGCTCTTTATAGGTTTGACTTAGCAAGTTCACCACTAAATGGCATAGCATGCTACCAACTTTAGCAGGCATACTAGATATTGTTAGTTGTTTGTTGTTGACTCCGACAAATACAAGCATTCAGTTAAAACTTGAAATCCTGTTTCTGTTGCAACATTATCATTGAAGTCAAAAAATGCAACTTTTCATCCATGGTCCCCTCCATAATTGTGGACCGTAATACGATTCAACAAAAACAATTTTCTTACTAGCATGTCCTGTCTTAATTCTTTTAATCCAAGCGTCATAAAAAAACTGTATTTCTTCATGGTTCCTTCTCTTGATTTGCTATTTTTATCAATAGTCACTACCAATCATTTAATTCTTTTCTACCATGTAGTCTCCATGACATTTTTGTCCAAAATCAACTTCAAACAAAAATGACCCAAAATGTCACTAGTATTAAAGCCCCAATTCGTCATATGATATAGCGTAAACCTGAAGCAAAATTTTCATAACAAAATCGGCTAGAGAAGAATCATAATTGAATCAGAAAATGGAATTTTTCCGAAACATCATTTTGCTTCGGAATTGGTTGAAAACGTGCAGAACAGACTGAATGTGCTAATTATGCAGACACCCACGTTAACCACCAATTCACCTGACAATGAAGGTCAGTAGAAATCCTAGTTGATCCAACGTTGGAAACAGCATAACAAGGACATTTCCCCGCATGTGTAATTTAATTTAATACTATCAAGAGCTGATACTAATGAATGGAAGGCAAAGGTGGTGATTATGCTAAGAATATATTTGAACAAGCTAGAATGTAGGCAATAGAATGAAGTTGGTCAAGGAGACACAAGTCACAGAGAATGTTTCTGGTCCCAGTGACTCCAAAGTGTGACTAAACAAGGAGTAGGACGTGGCCTTCCAACATTCTTCATGAATATGTTTTGCTGCCCCAAAACCACATGCTTTTTGGACCCTAAGTCATGCATGCTTCCCTTTTTATTTTAATTTCTCACCTCAGTATGATCAGCACCACCACTAGGTAAATGATGTTCTTATCTTAATTCATAAAAAAGACAAACTCATCATGGTTTATCATCATGAGCGGAAGGAGAATAATCAGTGACCTCTTTAGCCAACTCATTCAAATTTTAAAAAAGACAAATATGAAGGCTGGTAACTTTTGCTGCACTATTAGGACCACTGTCAGAAAATTTCAAGACAATGAAAACGAGGGGTGAAAAAAATGAACCAATTTACCCCCCCTCAATATAATGTAGTTTTAAAAGGTTCAAATTTGTTGAATAAATATATGACAGAACAGAAGAAAGGTTGGCTTTATTTACTTGTTTTACTTGAAGGAAAAAAAGTGCTACTCTACTAAAAAGAATAAGAAACTCTATCTTGCGGAGGAGGGTAAAAAACAGAGAATCTATAGGATTAAGATAACATACAGAGAATATATTTTTTCTTTCAAGGAGACATTAGAGAATATTTGAGTACCAAAGAAAATCAAGATAAATATTAAGAATTAAGAGGTGCAGCTAGGCAAGGGCACATGATCTAACAATGTTTTGTCTATGTATTTATCCCGGATCAATCCCCTATGACATTATATTATTAACATATGGAAATGTTAGGAAATATAAATTGAATGTGGAATATGTTTTAATTGGAGTTTGAGCATGGAATTTGGTGGAAGGGATCCTCGAGTCTACAAAGAGTTGGCCATGTGATAAAAGCAGCTTTCTTCGACTTGCAAAGCGACCACGCCCGTTTGGCTGCAATCATGTGGTCTAGTATGTTATTATTTCCCACACTCCTTCCCTTGCTTATTTCTTTTTTGCATCCTTTTGTCCTCTCCAAAATTGACCTTGTTCCAGAACAAACTCACTTTTGCTGTGCGTGTTAGCCCATATGTTTTCCACATTCCAACACCGTAACCAAAGGGAGAGAAAAATGGGCTCTAAAAATTAAGTTTAAAAGAAAGGTGTGAACAAGATCGGTTGCAATTTCATTTGTGCCAGCTATAAAACATTAAAACTATAAACTAAGCAAGCTAGATTCAACTTTGGCCAATGTAAAAGTAAAAGAGTCAAACCTTTGATTAATTCATGAAGATTGGAGTAAAATTAAAGACAATTGTATAGGTATAACCATTGAGCTCCATATTAAAAAACAATTACAAAAGGCAAAATTGAGAGAACAATGAAATTGGGTAAAGGAAAATTAGCAATTATGATTAGCTCGGGAAGCGAGAGGCCCGCTCGTGCGGAGAAGGCATCACGCTTCTTAAGTAAAATATGTCATTTCAGAGCAATTTTACTCGTACTTAAATAAACAACATTGTTCACAGCACAAACACATGACCCAAACCAAGACGTGAGCATTAAGGTAAATAAGAAAAGTTGTAATTACTAAAAGGGACTCCAGAAACAAGAGATTTATCGTCAAAGCACCTCGGGAGCTTTTACTTTTAGTTTAGTTCTTCAAAAAGTGGATTCACTCGCTTCCCAAAACCGCTCTCTACAATAACTTTCATACACAGTTCGAGAACCCTTTTTGTGTCCTGTCTTGTATATATACCACCACTTCAACACTCCTCTCCATCCATTCTCATCCCTCGTTTCTATTGTTGAAACTCTGAAACCCCATCACTGCAAGTGCAAACAACAATAACAAGTCACCCCATAAAGAAGGTAGCTAATAGGAGTTTGAGACTTGGGAGAGTGGAAACAAAACAAAGTCAAAGACATCCAAGAAAGTGAGAATGGCTTCGGATAAGGTGGTGGAAACGGTAATAGCAGGCAACTACGTGGAAATGGAAACCGAAGGCAAGCCCAAGGACGTAAAATCAAAGTTATCAAACTTGTTGTGGCATGGTGGTTCTGCTTATGATGCTTGGTTTAGCTGTGCCTCCAACCAGGTTGGTTTTTCTTAACAAAGCTGAATATCTTTTGTTTTGTTCCATTCTACAGACTATACCAACAATATTAGCTTTCTTTTAATATATGTTTTTGTTAATATCATGATGTTTATGTTACGTGTCAGGTGGCACAGGTGCTGCTTACGTTGCCATACTCATTTTCCCAGCTGGGAATGCTTTCTGGCATACTTTTTCAACTCTTCTATGGTTTACTTGGAAGCTGGACGGCTTACCTCATTAGCATACTCTACGTTGAATACAGAACAAGAAAAGAAAGAGAAAAAGTTAACTTCAGGAACCATGTCATCCAGGTTCAACTCACCAACCTTAACATCAACACAGTTTAATTTAATATACAAGTTCATAGTACAACCTCTTGATTAAATTTTAAACTTGATTTTGGTGTTTAAATCCAATAAACTATGCAGTGGTTTGAGGTTCTTGACGGGCTCCTCGGGAAACACTGGAGAAACGTGGGTTTGGCCTTTAACTGCACATTTCTTCTGTTTGGATCTGTTATACAGCTGATAGCTTGTGCAAGGTACCTACTCCAACTTAATCTGAGGCTCTGACCCATCCTTTAACTCTTTCTTCATTGTTTATTACTTGTGGCTAAATACATTAATTCTTTATTATAGTAATGTAAGTTAAAACAAGGAACCAACATCACATCACATGCATGTCCGATATTAATGTACCTGCTGCAAATTCATTGGGGGTGTGAATATTGTTTTAATGTTATGTTCAGCAACATATATTACATAAATGACAACCTGGACAAGAGGACTTGGACTTACATCTTCGGAGCTTGCTGTGCCACCACTGTCTTTATTCCTTCCTTTCACAATTACAGAATCTGGTCCTTTTTGGGCCTCCTCATGACCACTTACACTGCATGGTACCTCACTGTTGCCTCTCTCCTTCACGGCCAGGTAACAATAAAATTAGTTATTTATTAAAATATAAAATTACTGCTATTACTGATAATATATTATTATTATTATAGTATTAACATTTATGGTTTTCCGAATGTTATTGTGGTTAGGTGGAGGGAGTTAAGCATTCGGGTCCTACCAAATTGGTTCTATATTTTACGGGGGCCACAAACATTCTCTACACATTCGGGGGACATGCTGTTACTGTGTAAGACAATCTCAGATATATATTCGTGTCTCTTACGTTTTCGCAAATTTCCCCATGTTTATTTCTACCCACTTGGCCTTGCCTTTGGACGAATCACTATTTGCTAGTGTCTAATTAAGATAATGCCAAATGGGAAAGCGAAATAACAATGCAACAATTGGGGCTTAACGTCATTTTGATGGTGACTCAACCTTGACTCTGTAGACATAATCTGAACCTAGATCTAATTAATGACCCCTCTTAAAGTCTTTATCTTTTAGAAGAGTATCCAAAAACTTCATTTTAGATTTTAATATCTACATATGTTGAGGCCAGCAAAATTTTCAAGTTATTTGCCCTTCATTTCAATTATAATCTTTTTTATAATATAAAATAACAAGAATATACATTCAAATACAAACTATTTTAATGTTCTCTACAAGTTTGGTGTGGAAAAGTGTGTTTTGCATTTTTTTTCTTTCTAGAAAACAAAACAGTAAATATCTTGTATGGGTCATGAGTAGCACTTTGGCCCCAAAATACCCTTGGTAGGCGTGGGAGGCAAAAAAGTGCCCCGTTAATTTCTTTGTTATCCTTGAGTTTCTAAAGCCAAGGCTCTTTCTCTAAAATGTGTGTATGCTTTATTGCTTTTTATGATGAGAAGGACCCTCCCTGAGAGATCCAGCTTTCCTCAGTGAATGCTACTTGTAGCTTTCAGGTCTCTTCTCACAACTCAGCAAGCCAACAAAATATTCCCCTCCCTTATTCTCTTTTCTTTTCACCTTAGGAAAAAAATGGTATCTTTATCCGCACCTTTATTCCTTATTATATCTACAATTCTCACTCTGATTGACATTGACATTTTAGTAAATTCTTTTTCTTTCAATTTAATTATAGTCTAACAAATATGATACTAATTAATTAGCATAAGAAAAAGGAAAGCAAATATATTAATGTCACTGGTACTGGTACTGGTACAGGGAGATAATGCACGCGATGTGGAAGCCTCAGAAGTTCAAGGCCATATACTTACTGGCTACACTGTATGTGCTGACACTGACACTTCCATCGGCAGCAGCAGTGTATTGGGCGTTTGGAGACATGCTTCTAAATCACTCCAATGCCTTTGCTCTCCTCCCAAAATCACCCTTCCGAGACATGGCTGTCATTTTAATGCTCATACACCAGGCAAGCATATAGTATTACATATGTTAATTATATAGAAATCATTAAGTGATCCTAAACCCACATCATGTAATCTCATGTTTTATATCCATATACTCGTATTACATTACATATGGTTTTGTTGTAATTGAATGATGAAATGTTGGAAATTGCATGCAGTTTATAACATTCGGGTTTGCATGCACCCCATTATACTTCGTGTGGGAGAAAGCAGTAGGGATGCACGAGTGCAAGAGCCTGTGCAAGCGTGCATTGGTGAGATTGCCGGTGGTGATTCCTATATGGTTCTTGGCCATCATATTCCCCTTCTTTGGTCCCATCAACTCCACCGTTGGCTCTCTCCTTGTCAGCTTCACCGTTTACATCATCCCCGCCCTCGCTCACATCTTCACCTTCAAATCATCCTCTGCACGACAGGTACCATAATATAGATTAACATCAATTTAGTAGTAGTAAAATTTTGTCATCAACAACCAACAACAATCATTCTTCCACAAAAAATTGATGCATATTTCTTATTAATAACAATAACATGGTTATAAAAATATATGTTGTTGTAAAAATTCAGATATATTAATTGCTTGTTGAGTAGCATGCAAAAGAGAACAGATTTTACTGAGTAGGTAGGACAAATAATAAAGGTGGCCATGTGGGACATCATTGTCGGAACCCAATAGTTTGACTTAGCACTTAGCACAACAGTGTTAGAATTTATTCCATTCATTATTCTAAATAATTTGCTTCCATTCTTAGTGTGTCTAAAACCAACACAAAGAATAGGGATATGGGGAAAGGAAAATTGTAATTGTGAAGGGTTAGCGTATGGTCACCGTCTAGCAGACCGAACCCGGGATTTTCTCCATAGCCAATCAAACACTTTTATATTCTTTATCTTAATTAACCAAAATTCATATATTTGAATGTGTTGTGATGCAGAATGCTGTGGAACAACCTCCCAAGTTTGTTGGAAGATGGGTGGGAACATTCATTATCAACGCATTTGTGGTGGTGTGGGTCCTAATCGTAGGGTTTGGATTTGGAGGGTGGGCCAGCATGGTGAACTTCATACACCAGATTGACACATTTGGACTCTTCACCAAGTGTTATCAGTGCCCTCCACCGATTCTACCACCTGTGCCGCCGCAACACCTGAACGCCACCGCGCCTTCGCCTCTTCACCACCCTCGTCATGCCCACTAAAGCCTTCAAATTCAAACTCAATGCCCTCGCCACCAAAGGCTTTTTGCTGCAACGATTAACGGTGCAATGCATGTCATTGTTATGTATGTGGAAAATGATACATCAGAGTTCACTCATATCCTGCATTTAGTAATGTATTGTATTGGCCGTCTCATAAACATATAATGTATTCTACTCGATTTCCGTCTCTTTATAGCCTTAACGTACTGTCATGGCGAATCACTTTTCATAACAAAATAAAACAAGTTAATTACTTAGAGAAAAAAGCCTGTTTATCAAGAAATTCTATCCTCAAAAATCAAAGTCACTTTAGGAAAATCTCAATTGTGCGATAGAATAAAATGATTACAAAATTTCCTGACAAACTGCACTAAAGCAAAAGATCGAAATTCCAATGTTCCTTGTCCTCGAAAATGCAAAACCAAAAATAAAAGTTATCTGCCCTTTTCCTCTAGAACGAGGGTAAGGCGGCAGATCATGAAAAATGATTAGAGACAAAATAAAAGGTGTGAATTTATAACGTATCATCTTACTTTCAATACTCAACTGAAACATTTGTAAGCAGCTTTTCATTAGTTAATCTTGCAATCGTAAACATTACGCATTAGTTTACTTGTACAATTTGTACCAATGTTGTGCTAAATTAAGCTACAAACAGCTCTTGATTGGTTACTTTTTTTTTCAAGTCTCGTCGCACTTATGCGATGTGGATCCTCCTAAACTAGAAGTCCATCTAGAACAGTGGTGATTGAAGTTTTTTAGTGTTTGTGCTTAAAACCGATTGACGATAATGTCAACAGGTGTTGACTGTTTAACTTAACTTTTCTTACATTGGATTGACTCAGACTGCGGTTGAAGATATGACCCTTATATCATATCAATGATCTAATATTAAGTCAACAAAATAATGATAAAAATTTTTGAGAAAAAAACAAGAGATAACAATTCAACTAAATATATATAGGCAGTTAATAACTTAAAAAAGGTTTAGCATACTTTTGCTCTGCTTAATTAGAGGTTAGAACTGACCTAAGTTCTGTACTAAAACAATTACATGCATTAAGATAGATTTTATTATATTAAATATTGTTAATATTATTCTTCAAATGAAATCGATATTTTAAAATCTCAATGAATTTTTCATTTCGATAACAATTAATGATTATCAAAACGAAATTCTAGTTTTTTATTAATAAAATGACATACGGTAATATAAATGATTAAATAAAATTGCCATTATTTAACTATTTTAAGATAAAATAACAAAAAAAGTATTTCATTATTTGAGGAATTGTGAGAATTATAGGTAGATTTTTGAACCATGGATGAGTTATCCCAATTCCCGAAATTGGAGGGAAACAGAAATGATATTCATCAGAAATTTGGAATAGAACATATTTAATCCGATTTGATTTCATTACATTTTAACTTAACTATTTTACATGAAGATACTAATATTATACTATTTCATTTCAGTTTTTTTAATCAATGTGATTATGAATTTTGTCAATTCCAAACAAATTTTTTGTTGAACATTATTGTTTATCTTCATGATCAATCACAAATAAGAATCTTTCTCTTTACTTGAAATTTATATAATTACAAAAATAAATAACTTGAAATGTATGATAACAGTGTCCGTAAAAATTTATCCACGTGATATAATAAGTTTTTCTCGATAATAATTGAGGTAACATAACTAATAAGTTTTTAAGTAAGAATAATTCATAATTTTTGTGATAAAAAAGGCGTTGAGAGAAGAGTTCCGTAAAATTTTTTAAAATATTGTATTTATATGAAAAAAAAAATTGTTTTGTAAAATCATCTTAGGTCAAGTTAACAGATTAAAAAAATAAAGTAATAATAATTATTAAAAGACTAAATCAAAGAGATAAGATAAGCATAGTCTAAATGACTAAGTAAAGAAGACCAAATTTAATTAAAATTTATTTTAGATAAAAACTAAATTAATTTATAATAATTTATAAAACTTAATTAAATAAATATTATTAATCTTTTTGCACTCAAAATAATATACAGTATTTTCTTTAGGGATGAGGAGTAGAATTTTGGAACAGGAACATGGACAAGAAATTCTAAACCCCAACTGAAGCACGATATATTTTCTTTTTTATGGTTTAAAATCCGAATTTGGCAACACTGAAAAGTTTCCAAAATTGAAGTGACAAAAGCAAAGGAAGGTCTTATATATATTCCATTTCATGTCCTCGGAAATGCAAAACGCAAAATGAAGCATCTCCCTTTTTCTTGTACAAGAATGAGTGAGCAGGCTTGAAAATGATTAGAGATGAAATAAAGGCATAACGTTCAGGTTAGATAGGGAAGCATAGCTCCAGAATCCAGAGCATCTTTTCCTTTCCCACACTTTTTCAATGTGCAGCAGAGACATGCATGAGTTGATGAAAGAAAATAAACAAAAGAAAAGGAGAACCCCAAACCCAAACCAACACAATCAATGAACACCAACATGCAATAGCTGTTAACGTACATAGTGACCAACGTTGCCAACACATAAGGCTGCTGCAGACTGTACAACACATATAATACGATAAATGCATGCAGTGTAACATACAACTATATAACCAACATTCTAAGTATGTGTATGGAAAAACATCTATTAAGAAAAATTAATCTTATTAGATCGATATATAAATGTTCCTATTTTAAAAGATTAATTAGTCTTTTGACTTTCGTTCAGAGTATCTTATTATAAATATACACCTTTTATGAGGTCATGCATATAAGTGTTTATAACAAAATTTTAATCACAACGGTTTACTGTTTTTAATTATAATTTAAAGATTGTTAGCATTAATTGTTTTCATAAAAACAAATGTTCTTACACCTATGCATAGATATGCATAGATGGAGTTGAGTATGGAATCTAATAATTATATACTTCCTCGAAAGGCTAGTGGAATAAACAGTGACAATGCAATCTATAATATATATATAATCTATCTAAAGTGAATTAACAGACCTTTCATGCAAGTTCTGAGATAATAAGCAGCTTTTTATGTAACAGACATGCAAAAACAGGGAAAGAACGAAAAGAGAACAAATTAGAACCATAATAAAAAAGCCTTCAGACTTTTCAGTTAAAGAGTTTAACAGGCTCTCCTTTTTTTTCCCCAAACAGAAGAAGATGATGCGGTGCTGTCAACTTTGGAGACATGCTCGTTTATTCGTTTTAGTTTCATTTTAGCGCATTTTCTTTTCTTCATTGATCAATGTGAACTTTATCTTTCCTCTTTAAAAGAAAAGTAAACTTTAACTGCTTTTCATTGAATGAAATAAGACAAGACTCACACGATGAAACGGTCATTCATTCCTCTTGGAACTCAGAACCTTTTGTTAGATTGAAAGCCAATGCCGCATTGCAAGGCTAAACGATCATTGTGGGGTACTATTAGAAACTTATTACTAAAATGGGACTGTTTTAAAACATTTTACACCTTTGGGGTTCTTTTACTCCATAGCGACAACCATGACATGTGACATTTTTGGGTCTGACTATGAGCCATGAACGCCATATTGGTAGAGTCGCTCTTTTAAACAAGATATACAAGTTTTTGAACTTCAAATGCTTTAGGATGTGAATGATTTTTGTTGTCCTAAATGCTTATAGCCATGAAAATATATAGATGAAAGAATTTGTAAGAAATGGTTCACTACATGAATGATTGAGGGGGGAGGACTATTCCTGAGAAGGGAAAAAGTAGACGAGGCTTATCTTCATTCACAAATCACAATAATGAAACTGTCCTTTTTCTTCTTGATCTTGAGCTTAATGGAAGCTTTTGGTATAAGAATTTTCTAGTTCCCAATCACAGTTCCTATTTTAGTAAATAGTAACGGATACAGACTTCACAATCGCAGCAACACAAATGCTTGTTTGTAGGAAACGAAAATGAAAAATTCAATCTTGCAAATTTTAATGAAAAACATAGTTCATTCCAAACTATCTGTGTATGGTGGTGCACCAAATGTTAATAGACTTTTGAATATTTTGTTGAGATACAAATCAAGTCTCACATCATTAAAACAAGAAAAGAAATAAGAGTTTATAAAATATATATATATATATA